TTTCTGTAAAACTCTGGCCCCAGTAAAGTGATAGGTGTGTTCTAGCTGGATGTTGGGCTTATTTGTAAAGCAGGTAGCTGAGCAGTGCTTTAAGAGCAGATTTTGCTCATGTATTAAATATTCCTATGAGAAATGAATCTTGTTTTTTTCTTTCTTCTGTGTGTTATTTTTTGTTCTGACAGACTAATATCTGTACTGTAGCTGAGTCTGGTTTTTGCATAATCTAAACTAATCTAAGCCAACAGCATATAAAGTTAGGTTGTATTCCCAAACAGTATGAGATGTTATCATCTTCTAAAGAAGATGTTAGCTATGCTCTTCCCTCAAAAGTCAAAGGGTTTAAAATGGTTTAGTGAATATATTCCAGTACCTTAAGTTTTGCTATTGCATTTTTAAGGAAGAGTGGCTACCAAATGGAAGTTTTATAAAAATGTGTACAGCTCAAAGGAAGCAAAGCTGCAAGTGGTGCCTGTAACCCTTCCCAGCAGGACTACAGCTGCCTGGTGAATCCTGATGCCAAAGCACGATACTCTAAAGCTTCCTTTGGCTGACCAGGATCCGCGTTCTTCTCTGGATTTGAGTCCAATAGCACATTGAAGACAGCCAGCGCCCATCCGGCTCTGTTTGGAAGAGGAGATCAAACATTCCAAATGCCTGCGACTGTGTCCAGCATTTGCTCAGGCTCTAGTAGTTTCCATGAATACTGAAAAAGTGTTATTTTAATGAGATGTATGTTGCTGCTTCTGAGATCAGATATCCCTGAAGCTGACAAGTGGTTATTTGTAAAGGATTTGGGGAAAAAAACCTACTTTTTAGAGAAAAAAAAACTATATGGGGAGTTGGACAAAACAATAAAACATCGATCTATATTGCCTTCCTCTGTTCTGTTACTTTGTTCTTTTAATAGCTTGATACTTGGTTTGGTGGTACTTAGTGGCCCTTGTCCTTCAAATCAGATTTCTCCTTCGAAACATAAACCTATGCAGCCAGCTCTGTTTTTTCCTTCCCCGAAGAACAAGATTTTGGTAGGGGGACACAGCCCACTGTGCCGTTGTGTTCCTTCTGAGCGTGGGCAGGGAGACTTGCGCTCCACGGAGCCTGCTTCAGGAAAATGGTTTAGAGATGACGTGGACGAGAAATTCATGGATGTATCATGTCCATAAATCCTACTGTCTCTGTTACAACCAGAATTTATAGTTCGTAATTAAATTTCCCAGTTGTTAGTACTCATGCTGTGTTTCTGCAGTATGGCCATATTGAAACTTTAGGAATCTAGATGATTGACTTTCAGGGGAACTGCTCCTGAAATTCAAGTTAGTATTCTTTGAGTTTAGTGACATATTTTACTTTTTCATCTCCTGCCTCCAAAAGTAGTCTCCTGAAGGTTTCAGGGAAGTTTGAATCAATGAGGTGAACATTTTAAGATCCTTTCTGCTTAGAGGAGTGTGGTCCAGACCATGCTGTTTGATCAGTATTGGGAAAAGAAAGAAGCCAAATTGCTTTTGTGAAATGGATTTGATTAAAATATTTTGAAGATCACAGTGTGCTTGAGCAAGGAGATTGAACCCAGTTTTTTTGTTACACCTGAAGCATGAGCAATGTTTGAGCCATCTGAGGTATGTTAGACAGGGACAGTGACCTTTTATTTTCTGAATTTCAGCCTCTGCTGAGAGTGTTGCATAAAACCGCGTGTATTGGCACTTCTGCCTTACTGTAGCTGCCTTTCTGATCTCTGGGTTATGTATAAGCACGCACACAAACTGCAACTGTTTTCTTCTGAGTACTTCACTAATTTGGAAAGCACCTTCTGATCTTGATTTAGATGGATCTCTGTTAGCAATTTAGGTAGTGTTGAAATATCTCTCTTTAGTAACTACACAAAATAGTTTGGCATATATCAAGGACATGTGCTGTGTGAAGGATATTTTTATGTACTGCTGTGAAAGATCTAAGCCAGTGGAAAACTGGAAAAAAATGCTGCTTGGAGCAGGAAGAGTCACATGTATTTAAGACTGTATTGTTATTTTCAAGGGTAGGCTCCTCTTCAACAAACTTCTCATGAATACCTGGCCATTTCTGTGAATTAGTTCTCCTGTGAAGTTTGTGTTTGGTTACTCTTTGACACATATGGGGAAAAAAGTCCCCTGTCCCTTCTCCTCATTTCACGTGACTTTCTTTCCTCTTATGTTAAGTCACCAAGTTACCATCGTTCACTGCCTCAGCCTGTTTCGTTTCATTGGCCTGTATTCTGCAACAGAGCTAGCTGGCCATTATAGATCTGTGCTCATGCTCAATTTTACACTTCCCTAGCTCTTGCACACAGTTTATTGCCAGGTATTGACCAAACAGTTTCTGTAGTGGCTGTTTGAAGATTCTGCTTGTGTAGGATAATCTAGATCTGCCACTAGATTCTATGAAATACAAATGTTGATGGTAAGTATTTCAGATTTTCAGGGGAAATGATTCCTTCCAACGTTCATCCAAGAGCTGGTGAAAACCTAGGCCTCGTGCTTGGTAGGTAGGGCTGTTCCTTTCTGAAGTGAGCCACATGTGTGGTGCTTAAGTAATAATGATCTTTCTGAATGAATACAACAAAGGCAACTTTTAAAGCATTATTACTGTCTCGGTATCCAGCTTATTGACAGTAAACTAATTGTGCTTGCTAAGTAAAAGAGGACTCGTGGTTTTCATCCTAATCATGTTAACTTCAGCCTTGCTAGTCATTCAGTTTGATTAGCTTTGCAGTTTTGCTGTGGTCCATGTTGAGAGGCAGAACATCTGTCATCAGACAGTGAAAATAACTGGGGCTTTGGGGGGCTTTACAAGGTCTCTACGCAAGGAGTGGAATGAAGGGAAATGCCATGTTATTTTATAGCGTTGAAGTCAAAAAACTCAATGTCATCCATCTGGCAGGGAGCATCTGCATTTTCTGCTTCTTTCAGTTGGTAAAGTAACAAACCTTGTGACACAGTGATGGTAACCTGCCACATGCCCAGCAGGGGCTTCTGTATCCAAGACATCCTCTCTTTCCTTCAGACTGTTGTTGTTTGTCCCCCTCCAGGTGTTCCTGCACCATCTTTTAACCTGTGTGGCAGCCGTGAGTGCTCATGAAGAGCAGACAGGCTGCCTCAGAAGCCTGGCAGCCTCTAGGAGGTGAAACGGTGCTTGTGAGCTGTGAGAGAGGGTTGGATGGCTGGGGAGTTTTCAAACAGAACAGATCTTTATCAAGAAAGCTGATTAATCAAACCTGAAATATTTCTTAAAGGTGTTGGTTTTTATGAAAGTTCACAGAAATGCAGGCAAAGCTTTAATGGAAGTGTTTTCATTGGAAGCTTACTTGACTTTTTGCCAGCCTGTCTGCTGTTTTCTGTAATGAGATATTGAAAGACTGCAATTCTTTTAATATTTTTTTGGCCTTTGGTGTCTCACCTGATCTGATGGAGGAGGACAAACATGTGAGCAGGCATGAGCTTCCAGGGCCAGCACCAACGTGGAGTAGCTTCCCCACCTGCTCCTTGAGAAGTTTTCAGGGCACAAGAGCTGCATTTTGGGGAAGAAAAGCCTAGAAGGACATTGATGCTCCCTACTTTGAGAGCAGGGTCATGGCAAGAGAACTGACAAGCTGAGATGTGCAGCTGCCAAGATAACTTACCTGTCCCTATTAGTGAATAAGCTGCTGTCACCTGCACACGATCCTCCTCTCTGTCAGCTGGAAGAGCTCAGCAGAAGCATGGTGCCCTATGGCTCCTGCTTGCAGAGTCAGAACACAAATTCCCTGACAAAGTGCAAAAAGCACCTTTGTTCAGCACGCGCTTTCTTTTTTCAAAGCTGTATTTGTCCTGAGGGGAGTTACTAGTGTAGCAGAGACAAATACAAGACAAAGATTTTGAGCTTCAGCATTAGAAGTATTTTGAGAAGTTGAGTAGCGCTACAGGAAATGGCTGAATGTTGGGAGGCTTTCCCAAAGAGGAAAGCTTGCGCTTCCATTGCAAGTCCTCATCTGTGTCTACACTGGGAAGCTATTTCTCTTCTTAAGGACCCTGCCATTAAAATCTGAGCTGGCCTAACTTTGCAGTGCTTGTCTTTCCCTGGTAATGACACTTTCCAAAGCCTTTATTACGGTTCATAAGGTGCTGTATGTCACGTTTTTTTGAAACTGGAATAACTGTCTCAGTAATCCTCAGACTTGTTATCTGCTTGGCAGAAAATAAAAAGAGTAGATTGGGATCTTCAGAAGGAAGCAAGTTAGTAAACAAGGAAGTAAAGTGGCTTAAAATTGACTGGTCGGTACTTATGATTGCATGTAGCAATGCAGATAGTTAATACTGCATTTAAATCTCCTGTGCTTTTAAGTACCTGGCCTGCATCCCTTGGAAAATGCTAGAAGTGAGTTAAGTAGTGGAGACATTCCTGAACTAAGTGGCATCTGCCTGAAAACTTAAATGAATGTTTAATTAACTGGCAGACTTGTCTTGTACGAAAATACTGCAGCCAGGGAATGGGCTGCTTGACTGGATGCTGCTTGGGATGTAGCACTCGGCCACCCGAGGCATTCTGCTTTTTCACTCTCCAGAATTAGTGCTGTTGAAAACTCTCATTCTTTGGGCTCGCTGGCTCTCAGATCATGTAAACTTTTATTAAAGTTCTTGATTAAAAGCCTAGCTGGGAAAAGTGGCCATTTGCTGAAAGTCAATGTACTTCACTGAAGTTAAATTTGGGCTTAATACAGCCCATTGTCTTCTGCAAGAGACCTTAATTTGAAAAAAAAAAACCCCACAGCAGTTCCAAGCTACAGACACTGGCCAGTTTTCTATGTTCTCTCAGTATTAGAGTGGATTTGAATTTCAGGGAATTACATCCGTTAAATCTGAAATAACCTTTTAAAATATACACGTAGCGCAGACAGTATCTCGGCGCGGCGCAGCCGCCGGGCTTTCCTCTGAGGAGCAGCGCTGGCTGCGGAGCCGCTCGGGCCGAGCTACCTGCTGGCGGCTGCGCAGCAGCGCCCGGCCCTGACGTCAGCAACACGCGAGCGCGCCGCCCGCCTGCATTGGCTGCCCCTGCTCGCCCCGCTCGCTCCTCTGCTCCCTTTTTTCTCTCCCAAATGGCACTGCTCTGGGATTGGGATTTAGCTCAGGCCAGGCTGCGTGGGGAAGCGGGAAAGAGGGGACTTAGAGGGCTGGGGAAATGAGGAAGGAAGGTGCTGGCTGGCCGTGTCTCTTTGCGGTGTGCCAGGCAGTCGCTGAGGTCTGAAGCTGGTCTTGGGAATGCAAGGATGGAAGAGCATCCTGTTCAGCTGCTGCCTTTTGGGTTTTGGAAAGATCTGTGTGGTAAAGTTAGGCACGAGTCGGGGAGGGCTGTGTTGTGTATCTCATCCTAACAGTAAGCTCTTTATTTAGAAGGAAAAAAAAAAAAAGTGCTGTTAATGGCTAAAGATCAATGTTCTTTTTCCCCCAAGAAAAGGCAGGGGAAAAAAATTCAAGATCTTTCAGTCTAATCAGAGCTTGTTTTTTAGACAAACTGAGATTGTGCCTGTGGCTAAATCAGAATTGGACTCAGTGATATGGAAAGAGGAACACTGCTGTTCTTGAAAGCATTTCTATTGACTCCAAGCCAGCTCTGTTTCACTTCACTGTAGAATATAGCTCTCATCAACTGCAGCGTACGAAATGGGATTTTTTTAGCTTAGATTGGCATTTCTGAGATTTAAAATAAAAATCTGTAGCATCTGTACAATACTCTGTAGGATTTCTTCTACATCACAGGATTTCTTCTACCGGGGCAGTTAGTACTGTGTAGATATCACTAAAGACTATTTTAGTTTTAACACCTATGTCTATTCCAGCTCATTGTGCCAGCACTTTGAATGCCGCAGTGTGGTGGTTGCTACTCTGTTACACCAGATTTGTCCCACTCATGCAAAATGTCCCTCTCCTGTCATTACAGGCTCTGGACTGCAGAATCCAAACTGCTTTTTCCCCAGTCATACAGACTGCAGTTATATCAAGCTGAGAAAGTAATCATGCAATGAAAAAAAAAAAAAGTGCATATTAGTTTTGTGGACAAAACAACAGCAAAGGCCTATTTCTCTAGACAATAATTCCGTGAATAATGCCATTACTATTCAAAGAACTCAAAGCTATGAAAGTAAAGGACTAGATCCATAGTGCTCCAAACGCAGAGGATCCACCCTTGCAAGTGCTTTTGTATTTTGCAAATGTGCAAGCTATTAAAGCATTTTTTAAAAGTCTGTTATGGAACGGGCTGACTTCCATGAGTCAGGTTTTACAGGAACTGCTCCAAGTCTTCTGATTTTTCTCACGCGGAGTGAAATTGTGCAGACAAACCCATGATAGAAAGAACTGACACCTACCTTTTATAGGAAAGAAGGAAGAAGAAATGCAGCGAGGACAGTGGGTGTAAGATGTAGTTCTCTGCGCCCTTCTGCTAAACTCTTCTTCCTTAAAGTTCTGGTCTAGGTTAGTTTGCTTTTCTGTGCCTCATGCTTTGGAGTGAGCCCTTGCAAAGCTGCAAAATAATTCCTTAGTATACAAAGGAGCAAGACTTAGGCACACAAAGAGGGCTGGAGAAGCATTCAAGGGCTCTAGAGGACACTTGAAAGCCTCTTCTAGAAAGCCCCTAATACCTTGTCCTATTACCAGTGTAAAAGGGGCTCTTGCAATGTAAAAACCTTTTGGTATGTTCAGGCCTTAATTTGTAAAAAGTGAAATAATTGCTCATAGGTTGTTCCTGAAAAAATAAAGTCAAAAAATGCTCCATGCTATTGTGTTTTCTCCTTGAAGCTTCACATATTTGCTGATTCAGAATCTGCAAAGGAAAGATTCTGGAGCAGACTGAAAACATTCAGTTGTTGAGTTTTTCTGAATTCAGATGTATTCCCATGTGCAGACCCCAGTCAGAGCTTTGCTGCTTGTGTCCTGTAGCTTGTTTAGGCTGAAGGGTTCCCAAGCCCAGATGTGACATGGAAAGGAAGAAGGACCTGAAAATTTCTAAACCTTGAGCTTTGAATGAGAGATGGAACAAAATAGGAGGCAGTATAAAAAAGTAATTCCACTGGCTTGGCCTGGATTTAGGCTCCTCTTTCCCTGCAAATGCAGAATAAGACTTATAGAGCTTCAAGTAAAGAGGGGTTAAAAACGCATCCGATCCTCAGTAGTACATCTAGGAGTGCTCAGGTATTAAACAACTGTCCTAGCTGAGCTAGGGCCGAACGCAGCCTCCTAACCCGGAAACTTGAGCAAATCCCAGGGTTTGCACCTTCCTTTTATGAGAGCCGTTATTGCCCTGGTAGATAGGCACACACCTGAGTGCCTGGCGCACCTCACCAAAAGAACCTGTGTCCCACGCGGTGCCCCGCGTGAATGCTGCTATCTGCCTCAGGTGTTTGGTCAGCGAGCCCAGGGTGCAAACGTCTGGGTCAAGGTGCGCGTTTAGTTTAGATTGGCTCGATGAGAGCAGCGGCTGGCGTGTCCGAGAACAGTGAAGTTACTGTGTGGGGGATAGGCAACATGAAATGGTGTTTGGAAGTGCAGTTGGGAGGCGGTGTTTTCTCTCCTTTAATGTGGGAGGTGCGGCTGGGCGGCAAGCGGATGAACGGGGCCGGGCCGGACACCTCTCGGCGCTGCAGATCAGAATCTGCTTTCTGCTCGTTGCCTTTCGGCCTGCGCGCCTGGGAGCCGGCTGCTCGCTGATGCTGTGTGATGGTTGTGCAGCTGCTTATTCCTCACTTCTCTCCAGCAAAGTTGTTTTTTTCCCTCTGAGGAGGGCATACCTGTGTGCTCATATAGGTTTCCAGAAGCTCTTGCTTTTCCTTAGTAGCTGTAGCTCTTCTATAGCTATGTGCCATGGTGTTCAAGCACAAAACATCTTTATAGCTCGCTTGGAGGTGTAGGCAGTCGTTGTCCAGGTGGTCATGCCTAAGCCAGTCTTCCTTTTAACAAAAGCTCCCATTTCCTCCTGTTCCTCTCTCTGCCGCTTCCTCAGTCTGTGTTTTGTTTGAGTGCTGGGAAATCTAGGTTCACAGTGCAGCTGTTGACATCAAAGAACTTGAAAAATCACAGATTCTGTTTATTTTGAGAAAGCATGAAATCCAAGTTCATGAGATTTTTTGCTTGTTTCTCTTGTTGTTGGGTTTCTTTTTCGCTGTCATGCTTGTGTAACATTTCAGTGCTATTTCCCCCTATTTACCTTTCTTTCTATATGCTCTTTTTCAGCTCTTCCGCCAAAGCCCCCCAAACCAATGACACCAGTCAATACAAATGGGATGAAGGACAATTCCAGTTTCTCTCTGCAGGAAGCAGAGTGGTACTGGGGGGACATCTCAAGGTAAAGTTTATTCATGATCAAAAACACAATGGATCTGTTAGGCTTTAGGGGAAGAATGTATCCGTTTCAGACAACATTTTACAGGAGGAAATGCTTGGTGAATTCCAAGCTCCCATTCACCAAGTACTTGGTGAATGGGAGTATGTTGCACTGGACTAGGGACTTGCATTCATGGGAGGGTGGCTCTTTTGGAGCAGAGATTGTCAATCTTCATGACATGTTTTTTTGTTTGTTTTCAAACTTTCTCCAGATACATAAAATTAAAAATATATATATTTGGTCCAGTAGAAAAGGATTTCTGGATATGCAATGTAATAATAAGTTGTCAAAAGATATAGGGCTGGGATGCATGCAATTCAGCAAATTTAGTTGGAGGTTTGTTTAGAATAAAAGGACCTTTATTCTTATTTTTTTTTCAATATTTTGTTAGGGTTGTATATGTATTATTTTCGACCATATGTAGTAGTATAAAAAATGATTTTATGCTAACCATCACCAATTGTTACACAGCAGATGATACAGATACATACCAAATACATAAGTTCTGCCTTTTCAGGAAAGACTTTTCCTAATGCTTGAAAAAGTAGATGTCCTTGGTTAGATTCAGAAAGTAACATACCTTTTTTTGTATACTTATTTCATCAGAAAAAAGAGAACTGTGGTGTCTAGTCATCTCACCCTCTGAAGGCACTATTGAAGAGTCTAGAATTTGGAACTGTAGGGAGAAACATGAGCCTGCTGGGCTTGTGATCAGAAGTTGCTCAAACTCATACACATAATACTTTGAAACAGTTTGTCAGATAAAAGCAAGAAAAAGGTATATTTGTCACAGTAGTCCATTGAAGTTCTGCGAAAGGAAATAAAGATTTTATATCTTTATTGTACCACTCTTATCTCTAAAGTAAACCCACATAGATCTTGTTTTTGAAGGGCCTCAGCTGTGATATATTTCTGTTAATACTAAATCAAAGAGGAGTGGGAAAACCTGATCACAAAACCCGCTAGACAGGGTTTGTTTAAAACAGTTTGAGTATAAGTTCATTGACTAGGGATTTGTTCCTCATTTACCAGTGCACGAGATGACAGGAGGAGATGCAGTCCAAACCCTGCTGGAATGGGTTTATTGGGTTAAAATGTGACCCCTGTGCCTGTAAGGATGAAATTGTTTAGGGCTCTAATTTGGGAGCCAGAAGGTAGAGAGGGCAACAGGCTGGGGACTCATCAACCAGGTTCTTAAGCACCTATCTTGAAAATTCTGTCCTGGGCTTCAGGATGCTACTTGCAGACAAAAGCCCAAGCGTCTAGATCACTTCCAGCTATTCAAAGGCAAGAGGAGACCATTTGAGTAACCCAGATCCAACCTGTCCAAGAGTTTAAGAGAAATAACCTGCCATGCATGTGATGCCTATAGGAGTCAGTAGTCTTAACAGAGTGGCTTTCAGGTAGTTAAATCAAATTAAGACTATTTTGTAAGAATACCCTTTGTTCCTTAATGTTTGAACAGCAACAGAAAACTGTTGATTTTTCTTTTGTAAAATTCAAGCAGACTTCCTACCTCACTTAGATAATGTTGAGCCTACCAGATAAACTTCTGTTTTCAAATGGTTGTATTAAAAAGTGCTTAGCAGCTTTCTCCCAGGGTCTTAGAAGCACTTATTGTGATTTGTAATCTAGGTGAAATGGTCGAACCTGTCAAGATATTAACTCTCCAAATGAAAGGATTAAAAAAAAAATACTTATAGGTATTCCCTTTCCCTGAAAGTTTTCTTGATTTGGCTTAAGGCTCTGAGACTAGTTTTCCTTTTGTTTCACACTTGTAAATAAGAAGTTACACGGAAGCTAGTGAGGCTGCAGTGGTTTAAAACTGCTGCAAATAAGATCAGAGTTAAGCCAATAATGAGTCTCTTGAGACTAGAACTGTGCTAAACTCTAGACACCTTTCAGAAATGATGCCACAGCTTGTTTCTAGGAGGTCAGGACTGGCTTCTCAAAGGGCACCTGTTTCCAGTGTGGGCTTTAAAACATGAGCAGCTTACAGTGAAAGGTTGTGAACTCTGAGACACAGCTGCTACTGTTGCTTAAATGTAAACTGCTTCCTCAGTGGCAGTTGACTGCAGCTGCTATTTTTTCAGTGAGTTTGAACTTGCTTTAGGTGGCCTAAAAGATTGGAGAACCTGATTTTTGAATGCAGGTTGCTTCATATTTTGAAGACAAAACTCCTTACCCCTGCTGATATCAATAGCCTGGGTGTTGATACCTATAGTAAAGAGCTTGGGTCTTTGTCTTCTGACTCTATCTTCCCTTCCATTCCCCAGGGAAGAAGTAAATGACAAATTACGAGACATGCCAGATGGAACGTTCCTGGTGCGCGATGCGTCCACCAAGATGCAGGGAGACTACACGCTGACACTGCGGTAAGTGCTGAGAGGTGACGTTCTGCAGAGTCACACCCTGCGCAGCTCCTCGTCGTTCCAGTGACAGCAGTGGCACTGAAGGGCTGGCATGGCCCCCGTTGAGATGGATTCAAAGATGTGGCAGGTCAGGATGAGGAAACAAGTCTGTTCTGTACAGCTTCAACAACCCAGCCCATGAACTGAGCAGTACTGTAAGGGTCTCTGTAAATTAGATGGGATTCAGATGGGCAGCCACTCAGTAGTGCTGAGGTAAAAGTGTTTGTGAATAAAGGCTTTGATCAATAGGAGTGTGGTGAATAATCTCATCAGGGCAGCTCCAGATAGTTGAATGCAGTGTCCTCGTAAAGTGAGCATCTCGTGCTTTCTGATCTAAAGTTGAGGAAAGGTGGGATTGGAGGCACGTTCGTCATTAAAACAGCCCGCAAGTGGCAGGCTTCTCAGAGCTGCTCTAGCTCACTGAGACAGCAGACCTCTTGTGCCCAGCTGCACGTGTATTTGCCTAGAATGTGCAGCCACTTGCCTCTGCCAGGCTCTCAAGATTGGTTATTACAGGCAAATTAGGAGGACATGAGAGCCACTGCTGCTGTAGTTCTCCTTCAGGAGTTGTTCGGATGTGTGTTTGATCTTGCCATGAATTTCAGTTGTTTTATGGCCTCAAGCATGTGATTTAAATTCTGCCCTGACTTTACCTTGAAGTTCAAGACGTGGATGCTAAGGTCTGGCGTGGTTTGGTTGTTTATCTGAAGCAAATGTTTCTAGGAACCATAATTGAGAGTGCAGGAAGGACAGAGTATTGTCTAAACAGTCTGTTAGTGAAAAGAGAAAAAATAAACAGTATTTGTGGAAACTGCTGGGATGTATAAATCTGGATAATGTAAAGTCCTAGATTTACAGCAATGTTGTAATCCTCAAAGGATTTTGTTTTGGTTAGTATATCCTGTATTAGCATCCCTAACTTGAAAGACTTGTTAATCACTGTATAAATATATACTCACTTATATAGTATTCGTGACCCTGAAGTCCAGGAAATACTGGGGTTTCATTTTAATAGGGCTCCTCTGTTGAGCCTTGAGCATTCCTGAACAGCTACTAGCTAAGCTAGGCCTTTAGTATGTTAAGCTGGCTCCAGAATGAGCTCACAGGAAGTGATTTGCTTTGGGTTTTGCTCCTGTTCAAATAATATGCAATGATAATTGTGTATATTGATTCATAAACTACCTTATGCTTATTAGTATGTAAAGGATAATTATAAAACTAAGCTTTATAATTAGACAATTATGGCCATAATCCGAGAGCTCAAAGATTCTTGCCCAGGAATTTCATTGTTTCTGTTAGCAGCCGCAGTGCTGAAGAGAATAGGAGGTGTGCAGTGAAACCTCTAAATGACTGTACTGTTTTGCAGGAAGGGTGGCAACAATAAACTGATAAAGATCTATCATCGGGATGGAAAATACGGCTTTTCTGATCCACTGACATTTAATTCTGTTGTGGAACTGATTAACCACTACCGCAACGAGTCTCTTGCTCAGTATAACCCAAAGCTTGATGTGAAGTTGATGTATCCAGTGTCCCGCTATCAGCAGGTAAGGTCTTCATCAGAGCACTGCAACTGTTAGTGCAGGCGCGAAAAAAAATGCAGCCATGTATATCACCATTTTATCTTATAAAGCTTGATTGTTGTTTTCTTTTCCCCTTACATACTACTTTTGCTTGAAAACTTGCAAAATGTGAATTTTCATATTTGAACTCTCTTTGACAGCTCACACTAACCTGTCTTCAAAATTCTCTAGACATTTAAGCTTTCTCTTACACTTCAGGAAACTACTAGTCTCCACCTGAGCAGTCTAGTAGGGAAATGAACCCCCTGTATGCAGCAACCTTGAGCCTGTTTGAGGAGCCTTTTTTCCCTTGGGCCCGTGGGGAGCTCCAGGGCACTGTGCTAGACAGTTGAAGTTGCTCTTGAAAGGTGTCTCTGAGCTATGTCACTGCTGGCTGTGTGCTTAGCCATCCAGCTTTTCGAGAGTTTTAGGGGGATGTTTGTATTCAGTAGTCTAAGACATTTCTGTGTTTTAAAGGGAAAAAATGAAGAGCTTTTTGGGAAAAGCTCTGCTCTTTAATTTCCGATTCTGAGCAACTGACTTTCTCTTTTCTCCAAGGTAAGATAGGAGAGTAGACTAAGCTGACGTATATTTGGGGAGTCTCTAGTGTTTCTATCAGTCCTAGTGTCCCACAATTCCAGTTGCTGCTCTTTTTAAATTGTGAAACTTGTTGTGCAGAAGAAAGAGGGATTTCAGTTTGGTGTTTGTGTGTTCTGTAGAAACCTGATTATAAAAGTTATACTAAATCCTGTAGAAATGCAAATGTGTACGAGTGGACAAGTGAATACTCTTAAGGAAAAGCTGCTTTGCTTGAAGACTTAATAGCTTTTTGTCTATGCAGGATCAATTGGTAAAAGAAGATAACATAGATGCAGTAGGTAAAAAGCTTCAAGAATACCATGCTCAGTATCAAGAAAAGAGTAAAGAGTATGACAAACTGTATGAAGAATATACCAGAACATCACAGGTTGGTTCCACTGCGGCTTTCTGCAGAGTCTGTTTCATGTTATTTAAAAAAAAGAAAAAAAAAAAAAAAAGGCTTTAATGTATTAAACCTAGCAGAATCAATCCAAGGTGAAAAAATACAAGGAAAAAGATGCTGAAATTGGTTTGTAACAGAGCAAGAAGATGTGAAGGTTGATGGGAAGGAAGAATTTGTTGATGTAGGATGGGGAAGAAATAGGAGCTGAGCTTTCTATGATAAGGTAGAACAGTGGAGAAGTCCCTCCTGTGCAAGCTTTGCACTGCAGGCCACTATTTCAGCTGTTTAATATTTACAGCTGCTGCTTGCTGCAGTGAGAATACTAGCAGTCTACCTGAAAACCAAGATGGAAAGCAAGACTAAAATACTTCTGCCCTAATAGAGGGGATCGTTTGAGGTTGGGGGGATATAAACTTATTGGAAGTGAGCATAAAGGCGATGACTACTGAGGCATTGGACTATAATAAAACCTGATTAATCACATTTTGGCTGTAGGGGGAGAAGAGTTCATCATATCAGTCAAGTTAGAGAATGTAATTGAGTCTTGTTTTATCATCTGCATCATGAACAAATGACAAAGACTCTTGCCTTACACAGGAAATTCAGATGAAGAGGACCGCAATCGAGGCATTTAATGAAACTATTAAGATATTTGAGGAGCAGTGCCACTCACAAGAGCGCTACAGCAAAGAATACATTGAGAGATTTCGCAGAGAGGGGAACGACAAAGAAATTGAACGGTAGGCTCTCAAGCTGTGCTTACTTACAAGGAAGGGCTGTGTTTACATATGTATTTTTCTAAAGCTTTGATACACAAGGTGAATGCCTGTAAGCTACAGTGTGAACTCAAGAAGCTTTTCTCTGAAGTGCACTATTTGCAGTGTGTAGTTCTCAATGACCAGGCTGACTTGCTGCAGAGCACTTGTTGCTTGACCATGTGGTCGAATGCCCGTGCACCAGTTACTAATGAAAGCTGTCTTTGTTGCAGAACAGGGTTTGGTCCTAGATCCTGTTCTGCAGTTTTTTGGGGGGAGCTCATAGAGGTTTTGAATCTCTGTGCTTGAAGATACTTATAACTTGTCTGCATGTAAGGTCCACAAACTGACAACTCTTGCCGTAGATGGTAGGTGAAAGGGTAGTTGACCTTCTAGCAAAAGGTCTTGTGCCTTTCTGGTACTTATATAGTGATTTTTATGTTAAGATGTGGGGGAAGAGGGGAGGAACTGCTGTTGCAGTATTTGGGTGCTTAAATACAGTGTTATCAATAAGGTTCAGTCTCCCTGGAAGGGATTGACTTTCCACCTCTCAAACATTGCACCTTTATTTGCAGGATTATGATGAACTATGAGAAATTAAAATCACGCTTGGGTGAGATCCACGATAGTAAAATGCGCCTGGAACAAGATTTGAAGAAACAAGCTCTGGACAACAGAGAGACAGATAAGAAAATGAACAGTATCAAGCCTGACCTAATTCAGCTCCGCAAAATCAGAGATCAGTATCTTGTGTAAGTAAGCCTGACCTGTGCCTCAAAATGGTGTCTCTGACAAACCAGGTTAATGACGGTTTCCATCAGGGTAATGGGAATTTAATTTTCTATTCATAACCAAAGTGGTGTGAGCGCTAATGTGGCATTAAACCTTGGCATGGGATATCTGAGTAATTGGTTGGCCTCTTCCTGGCTTCATTACTTTATTACTGCAGTTGTCAGAGTTGAAAGGGCCTGCTACAATTAAGTGCACATTTTGTGACTCATGTAAATAAAGTATAATTTCAGGTTACATGCAGTTTCAACCAAAACCCATGCCCGCTTTTGCAACAGAAGTTGCTAGTTTTTGTACTGGGTGTAGCAGATGCTGCTCTTGTCCCACTCTTGATAGACCTCTGTTACCCAGCTCTAAAATGCCCTTGTGCTGGAGTCACTGCACTGGGATAACTGATTCTGGCAGAAAGCAGTGGGCAATGCATTCTCTGAAAAGGTGATGTTATGTTAGGTGGTTAAAGAAGTTGGTGCTTAGAAGTGATACATGCTTTTTCTCAGGAAAATAGGCAGCTCTCACAGTTTCTATTCAGTGTCTTCCCTGGCCTGCACTGTGCAGAGGCAATACTTCTCTCTCTGCTGTACCCTCCTCTTTCTCCAGTTAAGAGGTTGCTCTTTGCTGTGCCCAGTAGAGGTGGCATCTCGGAAGGCTGTTCAGGAAAGCACCTCTGTGGAATGTGGGCTCTCTGGGCCTTCTCTGTGGCTCTTGGTGGCAGAGAGCAAATTAAGGTCTACACTGCTTCTCTACAGGACCTGGTGTCTGAACGTCTGCTTGATCAGGAAGAAAACCTGCACACATAGTCTGAAATGATATATTAATGCTCTCTTCTCCTGGCAGATGGCTCAACCATAAAGGAGTGAGACAGAAGCGAATAAATGACTGGCTGGGGATCAAAAATGAAAATATTGATGAGTAAGTGTCATTGTACGTTTAATTCTACTGAGAAGTGATGCATTGATAAGTGGTATACTTGGGGAAGTTGGTAATATGAAGAAGTAGTTTCTCTATAAAGGATTGCAGAGGAAGGAATTCTCGAGGGATGCTAATGACATTTAAGCCCATAACACTGCTGAAATATTTAGTGTTACTGCCAAGTTGAGAAAAATAAGTTCCACATTGAAACCTCCAGGATTAAAGGCTATAAGTTGATACCAAATGGCCAACAGGAGCTTGACATCCACGTTTGAGGGTCTTTGTCGCACTTGGATTCCTGCAAAAACAACTTGTTTGTCCTATTAACTCCTTTGCTAAACAGAAGCTAAGTTAACAAACTGATCTCCTCCTGTAGCACGTACTTTGTGAATGAAGAAGATGAAAACCTACCACATCATGATGAGAAAACTTGGTTTGTTGGAGACCTCAACCGAATCCAAGCAGAAGACTTGCTCTGTGGAAAACCTGATGGAGCGTTTTTAATTCGTGAAAGCAGCAAGAAAGGATGTTACGCTTGTTCTGTGGTGTAAGTCTAATTTCCTTTTCCCCCCAACTTTTCAATTCAAAAATTATATCACATTTTTAGGCCTACACATGGAAACCTGTTGCGTATTTGCAGGAAGTTGAGAATGGCAATAGCTGTGTTACAAAAATCTGCTCTGAAAATGCAGTAACTGGTCCTGAGAGTCTTTTCATTCTCCACAATTGGTGGTACAAACCTCTGAAGAATCCCAACTTGAAGCTCTAAGGTCATAAGCAATTTAAGGTTGAAATCTACCATATTTTTATCTGCCAAGGAACATGTGGAAAGGAGAACTGTGCTGTAATGCTGTAACGTCATCTGTTCTCGTTTCTAGACATGCCAAACTCCAGACTCCTCCTGCTGTGCATTTAAGATAATGGAGGATAGATCTCCAGAGGAGATCTTGTGCTCTAACCTGATGTTTTGAATCGCACCAGCTTTGCGTTGATTTTTTTTTTTATTTCCTGGTGTTTCACTTGATTTTCTGCTAGTATAACGGATGCCAGAAATACTCTGGTACTATTATCTAAAAATCCTTCAAGCCTGTTTTGGAGTGCAAAATGGCCTTCACTGATTTATTTCTCATGAGATTAATTACATCTGAAAGCAAGTCAGGGAAATAAATATGTGAAGGTATTTCACCTCAAGGTAACTGAAGGTTGTAGTGTCTGCTGCGTTCCAGAATACTGTTTGTCACAGTCACTGAAGTGACAGGTTCATCAGATACTTCCACTTGGTTGGTGTCGTGCTGCAAGATAGCAAAGGCATGGCATAATGTAACCTGTTCAGACATGTGACTTGGATTGTAAAAGGCTTCAGTACAGGGATTACATAATACTCGATCGTTTTGGCAGATAAATTATTCTAGCAGCTTTAGAAATAATGTGTTCCAGTAAATGCCTTGCCAAGTTAGGGACTCAATCACTCTGACTTCAGATAATGAACCAACTTGAACGCACGCCATGCTTAACATTAGAAAACGCGCATTGAGCGTTAGTGCTCTGTCTCACAAAATACTCTGTAGGTCCTAAGAACTTGTGGGTTTTGGCGTGCTCGCTTAGTTGACAGCTTTCCAAATAAGTTGAGCACAAAGTTGTTGCTGACTTCAGGTGCTTATCTCCTTGGTTAAGCTCTTGACTCCTTTTCCGAGCAACATTTGGAGAACAATGCAGAAGGGAATTGCACTGCTGGGAGAGAAGAGGCCTCTTATGTGGATTATTATGTAAGAGCATTTAATCACATGCCCTGAAGCACTGTTTCTTCACAGACTATATTAATCTCCTCCGCTTGCATCTACTGGGTACTCCATTATGTAATTTAGTGACTGGCAGGGTTGCTGTGTTAGTTAATTGTTAATAGACTGTCACTTTGGGTTTGTTCTTTGATGTTAAACTCTCGTGTTCTCCTTCCTTGCAGAGCTGATGGAGAAGTGAAGCACTGCGTGATCTACAGCACTCCAAGAGGTTATGGGTTTGCAGAGCCATATAACCTGTACAGCACACTTAAGGATTTGGTTCTTCATTACCAGCAGACATCCCTTGTCCAACACAATGATTCCCTAAATGTCAGGCTTGCCTACCCTGTCTACGCACAGATGCCCTCCTCTCTTTGCAGATAAATCCTGGGGAGGAGGAAAGTGTTGGCTATCTTGGATTCTTTTCTACGATTTTTATTAGAACTTGGAGGGCATTCTTTCTCCTTAGACTGCTTGTTTTGCACAAGAAGTGATTCTGTGAATGTGAATCAAGAAGAGGCCTAGCAGCAACAAGACGACAACTTGGGTGTAGGTGTCCTGGTGCTACCTTAAAAGCTCAGCTGTGCTTTTACACTGATACTTTTGTTTCCTTATGAGGGGAAAAGACTCAACGCAGCGCATACAAAAATACTGGAAGCAAAACATCATTTTATGGAGATAATTTTTTGCCAGGCACCTTCAGTGGAACTTCTAATTGGATTTTGTTTTCTCTTGTTCTTGTAGAGACAATGTGAGGCCTCTGTTGGAGGCATCAGTAATGTCTTTCAGTCTTAAAGCCCGAGAAACTAGGGGGGAAACTCTACCACAGCAATTCTTCTCTGTTCATTTTAGCAGCTTCACTGCGATTCCGACGAACTTCCAAAAGAGGGCTTGTCTTAAGGTAGCGTGAAATTTGGTGAGAGAAGACCAAAGGAATTATGGAAAAGCTTCAGGTTTTTATTTAAATGGGAAAAAAAAAATGCTTGTAAAGAAAAGTCGCTTTATTTTTTTGCCAACAGTAACAAAGTTTTGGTTTCAATGGCACTACAGGTCTTCGCTTAAAAGAAACACTTATAACCAAATTGAACCCACCAAAACTTTGTTTGTTGCTAGATTAAGCACTTATGGGAAAGGTTGCATTAGCATCCGCACATACTTTCTACACCAAAACTTGAAACAAATAAAAAGAAAAGCTAAAACATTGTGTGGCTTCACAAGGCTAATTTGTCTGACCTGATAGAATTGCTCACTCTCCTCTTTGCCTCCACCTCTCTGCTTCCCATTCCTCAGCTGGGGATTCTGCATTCAGTTTTTAAAGATGCCACGCTTCAGAATGTAAACTAGAACGAAACTTGCACTGCACTGTTGCAGCTCTCTTGCTGCACAGTGACTGACTTGTAACCCTTGGTTTTGATGTAAAAGAGGTGCAATCTAATGCTTCTGGATGGCTTACTCTGTACCAAATTGTTTCACGAGGAGTAGTTAAAAAGTGAGCATGCCAATTGAATCTCTCATTTGTTCTTTGCAAGCTAGATTCCGAGCTTTCACATCGCTGTAGCCAAGCAAGATTTTACACTGGTATAATCTGACCTCTTGTTCTTTTGTGTGTTATGCAAAGCAGAGGAAGGGAAGAGAGCTGTGCGCCTCAGACTGTGGGTATCTGCTGCCTTCCCTGGGCAAGGGCTGCTGTCAGATACTGGAGGAGATAGTCCTGGGCTGTGTCAAGTATAGCAATCATGCCATAAATCCCCTCCTTGGAAAGAAGACAGTACACACCACAAGTGTACAGAGCAGCTTATTTCCATTCCTTAGGTTCTAAAATGAAAAAAAAAGAGCTGAGTTTGGCAAACTGAAGGACTTGGCACCAAAGCACAACTGGCAGAGCCATTGTTCAGTGTGCAACCTTGAAAGTTGCTTTTGTTCCCGAGTTGGAAGCGGTTCCCTCGAAACGCGCCCATTGTGCAGGGCAGGAAGCCGGCAGCCCCGCAAAGGGGAGCCGCCACATTGGGAATTTGTGGACCTGCTTCTGACCCTGTTGCTGATTTCCTGCTCAAATTGCCAGGCCTGGTGGTGTTGAAAGTGTACAATCACCAGCGGCACTAGGAGTATTATTTAGCTGAATGTCACGGATTCCAAGCAGGGAAGGGGCAAGGCTGGAGCGCTGCCGGCGGTGGCGGGAAGGGCGGCCGAGTTGCCTGCTCGGCCCGTGAGATATTTTCATTTTGCACTATTGACCCTGGTACTTCCCGGGTGCTTTGTAATCAGGTAGAGCGTAACTTCCAGGCACAGTGCTCTGTAGATGCCGTTTTTTTCTTGTTAAATACTATGAAACGTAGCTGGGCTTGGTAGAGGAGAAGCAAGTTAGTGTAGGCCGGGCTCTCAGAGTGACCTACATCATCTCCGTGTGTCCCTTCTCTCTCGCTTCCCCAAGCAAAGGAAAACTCAGGCTTAGGCTTTACTCTTAGCCTTGCTCTGGAGTGGACTCTCCAGCTGTATGTGGACATGGAAATTTTTCTTTTTAAAGAAACCTGCCCTACCTCTTGGATAATTTGCAGTTCTAATCTGGTAACTGTAAAGCTGTCATTCTCACCTCTTGTGCATCTAATGTTCCCTTAGTGCTGGATTCGGGCCAAACACCTAATGAGGGAAATCAGTTCAAAGGCACAAATGATAGCCAGGTGCCTAATTCCTGTGGAAAAATCTGTGCGAGAGGAGTGGCTGGCTGTTTCTGTGCTCCTGCAGTCTCTCAGGACTTGGCTCTTACGAAGTTAACATTAGAAAATGATGGCGTGTGTATTTCTGATTCTTGTTTCGGGAAAGGAATGACCTAGCTGAAGGGTTTTACATTTACTGTGTTTTCAGATAGGGCTCGAGCTTGATTTTTTGTTTTGCTCCAGCTGGGATCTACTTGGAGCCTCATAAATCCTAGCACGCCCTGAGGGTACTGACAGCAGCGGGGAACAAGAGGGGCTGTCCCGGGATCTCACTGATCTGGGGAGGTCTTGGTCCAGACTCCAGCCCCGCTTCTGCCCATGTGCATCCATATAACTCCCTTGGCATCTGTGGAGGTGCCGTGGTGTATGGTGGTGTGACCGAGTTCAGAACCTGCTCCCTCCTCCTTGCTGATCTCTTTGCTAACCACAGCTGCGGCCTTTGCTGTGCAGGATCCTCGCAGAGCCGAAAGCCACCTCGAAGCCCCCCAGCCTTCCGAGCAGGCCCATCCATAGGCAGATGCAGCCTGTGGGATTCCTGCTTGGCTCCAGCAATCCTCCCGAGCGTCCGTTTTGCCTCTGTGTCTCCTTGCCTTCGGTGTAGGCGCCTCGTGTCACAGCTGCTAAGATTATTACCCGCTTTTTTGCTCTCACGTGCCATGGCACACGTGCTTTTTGCGTCCGTTTTGCACTTGTATGGCAGGTGAAAAGGGGTTCAAAGCCTGTGTTTCAGGTGTGATCCGCTGGGCGAGGCCTTCGTCCTGCCTCCTTCCTTCCCCTTGGCCCGATCCTGCTCTCCCGGTGCCGCTCGACCCGCGAGCAGCCCCGCGGCTTCCAGCAGCCCTTCCTGCCCCTTCCTGCCCTGCGCGGCGGAGGAGCCGGAGCCGGAGCCGGCCCGCGCGGGACGGGGCTGCACCTTGTGCAAAACCCAGCTGTTCAGCCTCAAACAAATGCAGGAAACGTGAACGTAAAGGCAAAACAAAGGCGCTCAAGGTCTTTCCAAGCAGTGAGATGTGAGAAAGTTTTGGTTTCAAGAGTCAAAACATAAGGAGGAAGGAGGGGGAAATAGTCTCACTGTCGGAGCAGCCGCTCTCCATCGGGCTGCGGGTTCTGATTGCATTGACCCGGGTTGTGTTAAATATAAACGTAGAGTTAAATAAATAACTTTTGCACAGTGTTAAATGGGGGCAGGGGGGATAATGTTGAAACTCTTAATATGCACAGTTTCTTCTAACCTGTTTTGAAGTATATTTGCAGGGATCAGGGGTGATTCGGTATTTTGTGCTCGTGTGGATGGGAGTCGAGGTCTGCTTCCACAGTTGCCATTGGCGCCAGCCCGGAGTGCCACGTTTTGGGAAGCTAGTGAGTTACAGATCCGCTCCCACCAGTTCCCTTCTGGATTCCGGGTGGTCTTAGGATGGAAAGATCCAACCTATGAACTCAGAGGGATGTCTTGATATTTGGGCTGCTGTGCAGTAGAATGTGGAAAATAACACACGGTGGTGCATCTTCCACCCTGGAAATGCTCCCGATTTGGTCCTTGTTTTCTCGTCTGTTTTCGTGTCCAGAGCAGCCCTCTGTCCGATGCCAAAAACGATCCGCTCTTTCCACGCTCGTTCCTCTGGACGTGGCAGATGGTCAGGACATTTTCCATTTATTGGGACAGGCCTGATTCTTTTCTCACTGACACTCGTGTAAGCAAGACCTGCGCAGCCGAGAGCCATCCCTAGGGAAAGGGCTTGCATTCCATCCAACCCGAATTCAAGTCAGAGAAGGACAAAACCCAAAGTGTGGCCTTCCCGAAGCCGGGCAGCCGGAATGGGCACTGTGGAAGTGGGTGCTGAGCTTAGTGCTGAGCTTAGTGCTGAGCTCAGTGCTGTCTGGGGAGGCGAGGGGAAGGAGGAGGACGGCGGTGCCGGCACCGCAAGCGGAGCGGCAGTGCCAGCCGCTCGGGAGGCGCCGCAGCTTCAGGTTGGAAAAGCCCCTTTTTTGGTACTTGAACAATCTCTCTTCTATTTTTGAATGTCTATTTGTTTTTTTTTTTTTAATTTTTGTTACACTAACAGGGAATAAAAATCTGGGGTGTTAGTGAGGCTGGTACGGCTGCTGCCCGTGGCCCGGCAGGGAGAGGCGGCCCCGACGCGCAGCTCCGGCAGAGCGCTCCGCTGAGCGGGGGCTCGTTTGGATCGCGCTTCAAATGGGACTTCCTCACGTGGAGCTTCCTCCTGTTAATTTGCAAGCATTTGCTTTGGGAAGAAGAGCGAAGTGGAACTATATTCCCAAAGGGGAGCGATGCCGCGGAGGCGCTCACTCGGATTTGCCATTTGAAGCAATGTGGAAAATGCCCCAACGGGGCCGGGAGCGGTGGCAGCCCCAGGGCTCTCTGCCCTCTGGGGAGGTGTCACGCAGATGCCGGAGCCCCGCGCCCATTGGAAAGGGTTGGATTTTGCTTTGCCGGGAGGCGGGAAGAGCCGGGGAGCCCGGGAAGGGCTCGGGAAGCTGCTGCTCCTGCCCGTGCCGGGAGGTCGCTCGCGGCGCCCAGGCTCCGCTCTCCTTGGCGCCGGCAGCGGGTGACGGGCGCAGGTGGGCGCGCGCCGGCGGTACCGAGCGCGCAGCGCGGCGGGATGGCCTTGGAGGCCGCCGGCCTGTCCCGCTGCTGCCTTCCCTGGGCAGAAAACAGGGAAGGGGAAATTCCTTTGAGAATCCGGAATTCTTTCCCGCGTGCTGGCGAGGGCGGAGGGCGAGGAGAGGCTGGCTAAGCGGCGGGATGGCGGCGCAGCGCTGCTCTCGGGTCGGCACCGCGCGGTTAGCGCAGGATCCGTGGTTCCGTGTGGCGTGTGGTGGTGACACGGTGGTAGATTCGCCGTCCATCCGGAAAGTTGCCTTTGCAGGGATGGAATATGAGCTTCCGAGGCAGAACAAATGGAAACGGGTCCTCTTTTCTCCATGGGGAAAACCAAAACCGCTTCCCTGCTAAGCAGGGCGAGCCAAAGCGGCCGCCCGCTCCGCGGCCCCCGTTCCCGCCGCAGGGTCGGGAAAGGCGGGAGCAGCCGCAGGGGATCGCGCGGGACGGGGCTCGTGTCCCGGGATGGGGCTCGTGTCCCGGAATGGGGCTCACATCCCGGGATGGGGCTCGTGTCCGGCCCCGCGGTGCCCCGGGCGCAGCCAGGCGGCCCCTTGGCCGCCGCTCCTGCACCGGGGCCGGGAGCCGTTTGACAAAAACCTGTTAATTTTGTAAATCTGGCTGTTTCTTGCACCACGGGGTCGTGACGGTCTGCATCATATCTGTGTGTGTGCGTGCGCCTGTATGTGTACTGTATGTATATAGATCTGTGTAAAATATTCCCCGCTGGAGGCGGGAGCCTCCGTGTCGGGCCGGGAGGCGGCTCTGTGCTCACCTGGACCCTGCGCTTCTCACACGCTCAGCTAGGGATTCCTTTTCGTTGGTTTATTTTCGTTTTTGGGGTTTTTTTTGTTTGTTTTTTTAAAGTGATTGAATTTGGGTTTTCTCATTATTTACTCCGGGACAAACCGTACAAATAAAATGGGTTCACAGCAGCGGTTTAAAAGAAGAAACCCTCGTGCGTTCCCTCCAGATGCAGCTCAGCGCTTGCACGGTCGCACCGGCCGGAATCCCACTCCTATCCGGAGCGGCGGGGGCTCCCGGGATGCGGCCTTGGGAGAACCGGAGCGAGGGCGGGAACAGCAGCTCCAGCTCTGCCCCCCGGCTGCTCCTGTTACCCCCATCCCATCTTCTTCCAGGGAAACTGCATCTGCTGGGAAGCTGCTTCTCGGGAAGCTGCCGAGGGCTCCTTCTTTTTCTCCCGGCTGAATTCCAGCATGTAACTTCGGTACTCTTGTTTGTTACTTGTGTAAAACCTGTTCTTCTGTCGTTTATGGTGTAGTCGAAAAAAAATAATAATAATGAAAGAAAAAAAAAAAGGAATTCATGTAGCTTAACTTTTAAAAAGAAACAAACTGCTTCATAAGGAAACCAATTGTATGTTAGTGTTTTCGGACAAGTCATGCTGTAGTTTCTAGGTCAGTAATGCAACACTGTACTTGTCACCGCTGTGTTACGGTTTTGCTGTGCTTTCTTTTACTAGCTGGTTGGGCTTTTCAATCCCAGACACTCAGCATCCTGGGCCGACTTGCTCTAGATCAAAAAATGCAATAAAAACCGAATTGCAATAAAGCACCTATTGACATGGACTCTTTTCCAAGGCTCTTCTGAGTGCGTTTCCAGTGACTTGAGACGTGCCGCGGGTGTCGGCGCGCGCGGTCGCCTCGGAACGCCGCAGGGAAAAGGAGGAACGGGGAGCCCGGTGTCCTGGGTGTCAGCGCGGCGGCCGCGGCTCTTCCCTGGCGCTCGGAGGCGCCTTTTCCAGCTCCTCGCGTCCCGGCCGGCACCGGGCGCCCTTCCGAGCTGCTCCCAGTCCCGGCACCCGCTTCCGTGGCCATGGGGGCAGCGACGGGGCCGGGGCTGGCCGGGGAGCAAGGGCCGACGCCAGGGAGTCATCCCTGGAGCTGCGGGAACATCCCGGGAACCTTGGGGCAGGGACAGAAGGGCCCTGCCCGCCCTGGGCTCTCTGCGCCCCTCGGAGTCGCTGGTTTTTCCCAGTCCAACAGCGGCGTTTCCCAAATCGCTGAGTTGCCCATTTCAAAAAAAAAGAAGAAAAAAAAAAAGCCGGGCCAGCATTTTCTCAAGCTGCCAAGTCAGGTTTCTCCTCTGCTGAGTCAGCACATCCTCGGATTCCTGAGCTAGGGCTCTCCAAGCCAAACAGGGCAGAAACTCCCCAATCCCCAGGCCCAAAACGGGGCAGAAAGGCCGGTTCCGGAGCCCAAAGCGCCGCCCTCCCCGGCACCATTTTCCTTGGAGGCTCCCGGGCCTGGCCCGGTGTCACCGGCAGCGTCACCGCCCGGGGCCGGCACCCGGGAAGGAGCGGCCGCTCGCACGGGCCGCACCGAGAGCAGGAAGAGTGATAAGAGTAACAGCAGCAGTCGACACAATAGCGGCATTGATGATGATGATGATGATGATGATGATGGTGCAGCAGGACAGCGGCTGCGCGGGATGCACCGGCACCACGGCCGCTTCCGCCGCCCACTTCCCAGGAGCCGGCGCCGGAGCAGAGGCCGGGAGAGCTGCTCAGCCGGGCGGGATCTTCA